AGGAAAAGGATTATTTATGGAGCACCTGCCATTTGCTGCATTCTGCTCAGCTCCACTTCTTACTATCTATTAGCCTCACTCTCTGCAGACTAGCAGGAGATGAGACCAGACCAGGTAACACGCCCAAAGCATCACTGTGGTGGGGTAAGGCTTCCAATCTGCTCCTTCTAACTTGAAGCACATTCCTTCACCATGTCACTTCCTCCTTGTCAAACAAAGGAAGACTCTTTGCCCTAGCTTCAGGGTTTTGTTTTGTTTTTTGACATGGAGTCTTGCTCTATTGCCCAGGCTGGAGTGCAGTGGTGCGACCTCTGCTCACTGAAACCTCTGCCTCCCAGGTTCAAGCAATTCCCCCATCTTAGCCTTCTGAGTAGCTGGGATTACAGGCATGCACCACCACGCCTGGCCAATTTCTTTCTATTTTTAGTAGAGATGGAGTTTTACCATGTTGACCAGGCTGGTCTCAAACTCCTGAGCTCAGGTGATCCGCCCACCTCGGCCTCCCAAAGTCCTGGGATTACAGGCATGAGCCACTGCGCCTGGCCTCTAGCTTCAGTGTTAACCCTTGTGCTGCTTCCTGTACCCCATGAGGCTGAGCATGAATAAGGAGCCAAGTTTCTAAAGAGTCTCCAAACTCAACAGGTACAGAGATACTGTCCTCAGCTCTGTTTGTAGGTGTCATGTAAGTAGCGATGTTCCACAGTTTTCTTACAAGTCATGATTCATAAGCCTAAACAGGAGCTTTCAGCCTTCGTGGATCTTCATTTCCCCAGCCTAATCCAGGACTGGGTCAAGCCAAATCCAAGACGCAGAGAGAAACATTCCCACTTGGCTTCTTTCTGTTCAGTCGCATGACTTGGTGTATGTAGATTTAAAAGTCTCTCTATTATAAAATGTAAAGGCTGCAGAAGTTATCCAACTGCTCCTAAAGAATTACAGGTTGAGCGGGCTGGCATGGTGGCTCATATCTGTAATCCCAGCACTTTGGGAGGCCGAGGCAAGCGAATCCCCTGAGGCTAGGAGTTCAAGATCAGCCTGGCCAACATGGCAAAACCCTGTCTTTACTAAAAATACAAAAATTAGCTGGGCGTGATGGCATGCACCTGTAATCCCAGGTACTCAGGAGACTGAGGCAGGAAAATTGCTTGAACCTGGGAGAGGGAGGTTGCAGTGAACAAAGATCATGCCACTGTACTCCAGCCTGGGTGACACAGCGAGACTCTGTCTCAAAAAAAAAGAATTACAGATTGAGTATCCCTAATCTGAAAATCCAAAATGCTCCAAGATCTGAAACTTTTTGATTAACAACATGACACTACCATGGAAAATTTCACACATAATAGTTCTTTAACTTTGTTTAATGCACAAATGTATTTAAAATATTGTATAAAATTACCTTTAGCCTCCATGTTTAAGATATATATGACACATAAATGAATTTTATGTTGAGATTTGACTCTCATCCCAAAGATACTTATTATATGTAAATATTCCAAAATCTGAAAAAATCCAAACACTTCTCATCCTAAGCATTTCAGATAAGGGATATTCAAACTATATAAACAAGGTTGCTTGCATTAGCCAACCAGAAAAACAACCAAAAAACACTTTACCTTTTCCAAATGCCCATGTCCTCACTCAGCTCTGATCATCAGTAACTCCATTGATCACTGTGTGCTTTCATTCTTCCTGTCTGGTGACAACTGTCCCGATGGGATGGGCCGAGTGTCAAAGGCTAGCCAGTAGGTTTCCTGTCACCTAAGAAAGCAACAGCCACCAGTGATCACTGTGTCCCCATTCAGGGTCCCACAGGTCTGTGCAGTCACGCTGTCAGCCTTAGTAGCAGCATTCAGACTCAAGTTATCTTGCCACAATCCAGGCTTAACAAGGGGCCTGGATTGTGCTCAAAATCACCATGAATATAAGGAGTCATTTGAGGGCCTTCCTGTCCGGTTGTCTATCTCTGGTGGTGCCCATGGCTGTATGGGTCCTGGGACACTCTGCTTACCCATTCACCCACTGTGCATCATTTTCAGAAGAGTAAGCTGCATCCTAATATCCCTCAATAATCCAATGTGTTTCTTTTCATCTCTGAATTATTAGACCTTCCTGGAATTCTGTTTGCAGCTGATAGGAATCCAAGTTCTAGGTTTCCTGCCAACTCTTTGGTGAAGCATTTTGCTCATTAACCACCAAAACTCACTCAGGCTGGAGTAGTCGAGTCCGCTTATCATAGGAACACATGAGTGGAGGGCAGCAGTGGGTTTGCCTGCCTTGGTGGAATCAGGATCCTTGATTTAAGGAGACTATAAGAGAAGCTAGCACCAAGTAACCCAGTAGTAACCTACAGTTGCCGTTCTCAGCTGGCAATGCCTTTCTCAGCATTTCCTCCTTCAAGGAGATAGGAAGAAGCAATAACCCTAAGAAATCATCTTAGTTTCTGATGAGGAAACTAAGTCTTCAGACTGTTAGGTATTTTGCCCAAATAGGTGGCTATTCTCAATCATCACCATCGACAATTTGCAACCAGACTATTTAGAGCCTCTGCTCTTCAAGGCTCAAAGGTTACATAGCTGGTAAAAGCAAGAGGCAGGAAGTGCTCTCAAGGCCAGCTGCCCACAGAGCCTTGGGTGGGTTTTGCTTTGTTCTTTCTTACTGTCTTTTGGCTCATTAAAAGTAACACAAGGCCGGGCACGGTGGCTCACACCTGTAATCCTAGCACTTTGGGAGGTCAAGGTGGGCAGATCACCTGAGGTCAGGAGTTCAAGACCAGCCTGGCCAACAAGGCAAAACCTCATCTTTACTAAAAATACAAAAATTAGCTGGGTGTGATGGTGCACACCTGTAGTTCCAGCTACTCGGGAAGCTGAGGCAGGAGAATTGCGTGAACCCGGGAGGTGGAGGTGGCAGGAAACCGAGATTGTGCCACTGTACTCCAGCCTGGGTGACAGCACAAGACTCTGTCTCAAAAAAGTATATATACAAGCACAAGGTTAAAAAAAAGAAAAATGGCAACAGTATGCCCTCTGGATGCAGCTCTGGGTCAGCCTTTGTTCTGGTGCTACACCCACCTCCATGCCAAGGGACCCACCTGGTAGCATGAGACCTTCATATCCCTGTGGTGGCATTCCACATGACAGAATTTCCTCCGACTGCACCAGTGCTAGGAGCCCTGGGCCCTGAGATTACCGATCAACTCCTCCACACAGATCTGGAAAGGAAATGTGAGAAAAAGTAGGATACTCCAGAAGGACACACATTGAAAAGTACATTTCCTTACCACTCCTGGTGCTGGTACTCCATGTTACTTCTCAGGGGCAGTCCTCCAACTCTCTCCTAACCCCTGAGTCCTCCTTAGACCTGCTGGTTTCCTCTACTCCCTCTAGATCCCAGGGTCAACTGGCTCTGCCCAACTCGGAGCACTTAACACATGTTCCTGGTAGGGGGTGCCATATTCCTGCTCATCCTATCATATGCTACTTAGACTATTTCTCCAGTTCTTGAATATATGAAATGTTGTACAGAAGATCCTCAAATAATGTCATTTTGCTATAATGTTGCGAATGAAGAAAGTTGATTCCTGGCCGGGCCCACTGTCTGTGTGGAGTCGGCCCATTCCCCCTGTGTCTTCATGGGTGTTCTTCAAGGACTCTGATTTTCTCTCACATCTCCCAGCTGGGCACCTGAGGTGAATTGGCGTGTCTACATGGTCCCAGCATGAGTGAGTGGGGGTGTATGTGAATGCACCCTGAGATGGAACCGTGTTCCGTCCAGGGCTGCTTCCCGCCTGGCACCCTGACCTGCTGGTATAGGCTCCAGCCACCCTCGACCCTGAGCTGGAATAACAGGGTTCAAAAACAAATGAATCGATACAAATTATTGTACAATAAAAGCTTCATAAAGTCAACGATAATCATACACATGCAAGAAATCAGAGAGAAGGGAACAGACCAGCTGGTGGAGGCAGGCCTGATTGCAGTGCATGTTAGTGATTGATTGATAGTGAATTATGAGGTGGGAGGAGGCACGCCTTACGATTTTCACTTCGCGAATGTGTATTACTCGATTGAACCCACCACCACTACAACTGCTGTTACTCACTGATTCACCAAAAATTGAGTAAATAATTTATCTTACTTACATTTGTCTTTCTTAAATGCTTGTATAGCTCACATTTGTTTCAATGTTTAATATTAGAAGTGTTTTGGGTCTTTATTTAGAAGTTTGGTGATTTTTTTGACAAGAAATGTGCCATAGAAACTTAACTCTTATTAATATCAATTAGCCTGTTGTAAAATTGGTTTCTTTATGTTGTCATTTTGCTTAACGTTGCAGTTTCTGAGAGACTATTCACGACACTAAGTGAGGACTTACTGTACTTGTTTTCAACCAACCAGCACTAAGTCCCTACCAAGGACATAGCACCATATGAGGTGGTATCAGAAATGTCTGCAGTCTTCCTTGGCATGATCTTCACCTCAGAGCATCAGAACCTTGCCATTGAGATAAAAGTAGCGCTCATGAAACAGTGTCATATTAGGTAACTGCCAAGATAGGGTAGACACAGTGCCTTTGGAATCAGAGAAGGGAACAGACCAGCTGGTGGAGGCTTGTCTGAAGATGGGCCTTGAAGAGCAGAGGCTCTAAATAGCCTGACTGCAAAGTGTCGATGGTGATGATTGAGAATAGCCACCCTTCATGGGCAGGCGTGGTGCCAAGCTCATCACAAGTATGACCTCTCATCCTGGAGCCCTTTGTGGAAGGCACTGCTGTTGGTCCCCATCTTGAGGTTGAGTAAGCTGGTGGTTAGAGAGGTCAAGATCTGGCCTGAAGGTATATTCCAGCTGAGCCCCAATCCAGCCCATCCATTTGGCTCCCAACTCTTCCCCATCCCTGTGCTCTCCCAGTGTGCCGCCTCCCATTGCCAGGGTGGTTGGCAGAGCTGGGGATCCCCAGCTGTATCCTTGGCACTGTGGCTGATGGCTTCCTTGTCGTTCTAGGACTTCTGCCATGGGCAAGTGATGTGGCCGCCCCTCAGCGCCCTGCAGGTCAAGCTTGCTGAGCCCGGGCAGTCCTGCAAGCAGGTGTGCCAGGAGAGCCAGCTCATCTGCGAGCCCTCTTTCTTCCAGCACCTCAACAAGGACAAGGACATGCTGAAGTAAGTGCCCTGGGGTGGGGGTGGGGACTCAGCCCCTAGACTCCATTTGGCCTTGTGGGGTAGTCAGGTGAGAGGTACAGGTTTCCACTTCCAAGCTACTGGGCTGTGGGGATAAGGTGTGGGAGGGGAGTATGTTGCAGCAGGATCCCCTGAGAGTTAGCCCAGTGTTGTTACTGTTCCTGTTGTTACTGTTCCAGGTGAGATGAAGTCACCTGGCGTGATGATGTGTTTAGAATTGGAATGGGGGTGTTGTATTTGCATAAATAAAACTGTATCTGGGTTTGAAAATTGTGGGAGGTGTTCAGCTTGCTAATGTTGACCCCAAGAACAGTGGAAGTAGAGGTGGGCACAGAGTCACAGGCGTAGATGGATCAGCTCTTCAGACCCCTGCTGGCAGCCAGGCCCCCAGCAGAGTCTGAGCAGTGCAAGGGGCTGGTGGCGAGTGACATTGTTCAACCCTGGAGTCAGAAAGGAATGAGAAACATGGAGAAGGAGATGGCACAAAACTGCCCACAACAATTTCTAAGAGCAGCCTTTTGCGGCCTATTCCCTTTTGCAGTTTCTTCTAGGTCACTGACACATGGTACATCTCAGGCCGCAGCAGACCTGAGTCTGTGGGGTCCCTTGGTAATGAGATGAGTGCGCCACTGGGAATGCTGGCGCAGGGCTGCACGGGGGAGGTACCTTCCTTGAATTTCTTACCTTGTGCTTACATTACTTAGTGGCACCTTTCCTTTCCCTTTGCATTGACATTTTGAGTTGGGCATTTGCAGTTCCCAAATTTCCATCTGAGGTTTCTTCTGGCCTCTCACCCATGACCCTTGACAGGCCTGAATCCATTCTCTCCATGTTTATCACACCCCACCGTGGTCCACATATTGCATAATTTTCTAGCCTCCCCACCCACCCACCACCTTAGTAGCTATGATTAGGTGTTTTCTCCAAGAGACTAGCCCAGAAATAATAAGACCCTGCTGTCCCAACTCCAGATACTCAGTCTAGCAGGTATACCATTCCAGGCTTGAAGAGGATGTTTAGGAAGTGGAGTGGACCTGGGGCTCAGGGCTCACCTGTCCCTATTCTGGCTTCACGCCTGTTAGTGCTGTTGGCCACTGTTGTTATTTGTGCACCATGGTCTGAGTTGGCCTGTTTCCTGTGAGTCGTCTTATCCGTAAATGTGGTGTAAAACCCTTTGTAGGGAGAGTGTGTGGCCTCTTGTGTCCTGCCTGCTGCAGGGAAGCTCTCATGAGTAGGGGTCTGAGCTATGCTTTTTTTTTTTTTTTTTTTTTTTTTGAGACAGGGTCTCACTCTTTTGCCTAGGCTGGAGTGCAGTGGCGTGAACTTGGCCCACTGTAACCTCCACTTCCCGGGTTCAAGCAATTCTCATACCTCAGCCTGCCAAATAGCTGGGACTATAACTGCACGCCACCACGCCCAGCTAATTTTTGTATTTTTAGTAGAGACAGGGTTTTACCACGTTGGCCAGGCTGGTCTCAAACTCCTGGCGTTAGGTGATCTGCCCCACTAGGCCTCCCAAAATGCTGGGATTACAAGTGTGAGCCACCGTACTCGGCCCTGGTGATGCTATTTTTTTCCCTGTTCTTTTTATGAGAAGACCCAGGCACAGAAGCTGCCCTGATTACACCATGAAAACAAAAGCATAGGCCAAAAGTGGGGACTCGGGGCAGCACCCTGCTCTGCCACCAGACAAGCTTTAGGGAGTGGATAGTGGTCCGGGATGTCTGGAAAGCCTGTGATGGTACCAGAAGCTTCCAGTTCCACAGCGCAAATCTTGAATTGTAGGGTTCTGAGGGGCTTTCCACTCGCTCCTTTTGCATGTAGCTCTTGGAGCAAGGTGGCTTCTTGAGAACCCTGAGTCTGTCTGCCTCAGAAGTCAGAATTCACTATTTACAGACTAGGGACTGTCTGCATAAGCCCACTTCTGGAAGAAGAGATACGAGAAGCGGCATCCTGGCAATGGGACCAAATGGGACTCCTGAACAGCACGGCTTCCTTCCTGGCCAGGCAGGAGTCAGGGCTCTTGGCCCAGGGACTCTGCTTAGGGTCTGGCTAGAAGTAGCACGGGGCCCTACAAAGGCAGGCCACCTCCAGGCCAGGGTCCAGGTCAGGGAAGGCAGGAAGGAGAAAAAGCAAATGGCCACTTCCCTCGCTTCTGCTAGTTTTCTCATCTGTAAAATGGGGATATCCTAGGTGATGGGTAAGATAATGAACCACCCTTGCCAAAGACAGAGTAAAACACCCCTTTCTTCCAGAGAGTTTTGGGCAGTGGAGTAGGCCCGAGGCCACTGAGCCAAGACGGATAAGCCAACCCCAGCCCTGGCCCCTCCCCACCTCCATATCCATGCAGAGTTCATGGGAGCAAAAGGGCTTGGCATGGGACTGTCCTGAGGCCAGGCCCTGTGCCATGGGATCACTTGACCCCACCCCCACCCCCTACCCCACTGTAGAGATCAGGGCTTAGCAGGAGGCTGGAATGAATGCTAATTTTGCAATAAAGCCATCTGAAATTAATTCTCTGAACATAAGAACCCTGCTGAATAACTTGTTCATGCATTTGTAAATACTGATAATGTGATAAAACCCCAGCTACCTGGCAGTCTATTGAGTGCCTGCTCAGTGTGGAGGTGATCCTGGCCCATCCGTATTCATAGCCAATTAGCAATTAGCAGTTCCTGCAAGCCAGTACTGCCTTTGTATCTCCAACTTGGAGCCTGCTTTGAGCTAAGCTTAAGTTCCTTTTTCAGTCTTTGGGTATCCATAGCGTTTAAGAACCACCTGTCCTCACTCTATAGTATGACTTTAGTATATCACATCAGGGGAACCCTTTGGAGTGTCCTGTGTTGTCTTGAATCAGGGCCATTCAGGAAACCAGCCTCGGGTTCTTGTGCCTGCAGGGTGCAAGGGCGCAGTTAAGCGCTAAAGAGGCCACCACAGAGCACGCATGATTCACGTGCGACCCACATCCTCTGGACAAGTCTCCTCCCAGACTGGGGTAGGGACTGGAAGATGGAGGCTCCAGGAAGTGCCAGGGTCCATTCCAGTGTGGCCCAGTGGAGAGGACCTCAGTTCCATACACAGGGCCATGTGTTCCTGCCCAGTTTGTAATTTTGCTACCTCTTAAAGTTGTTTCTTCTAAAATGTTAAATTACTGGCAACTGGGGTTGCTCTATGCGAAGAATTATAAGCAGTACGGTCTAGACTGTGAGTGCTTTGTTACCTGAGAGAGGGAAGGTGACCCTTCGTAGGCCACCTGCTCAGCCCCGCACCATGTTGCTGGGGAAGACAGTGGCCCCAGCCCCATCAGGCAGAGCCAAGGGTAGAAGTCATCCAGGGACTCTGGCAAGACCCTGAACTTTTTGGTAGAAGGTTCTGATTTGGTATTGCTCCTGCTGCACTGAGAGCATCCCAGTGGAGTATTTGCCAGGTGGGGCCTGGCGAGGCAGAGCCAGAAGGAACAGAGCCCTCTTGAGAGGGGGCTGAGGGAGGGAAGGCACTCTAGGGAAGGGGCAGGAGGGAGGGGCAGGAGCAGCAGGGGAGACAGCAGCACTCGCCTCCTGTCCAGTGCATCCTGTCCTGTGTATTATAGGTCTGTGTCAGGAAGGGACTGGTGACTTCTCAGCTCATTGCCTGACTTCAGGTGAGGAAGTGTGACCAGCCCCACTGGAGGGGGCTTTGCCTCTTCTTATTCTTCAAGAGCTATAAATTGTAAACTGAGACCTGATGGGCCCAGAAACTTTAAATCCCATCCTGTAAGATACTAGGAAGAAAGGAAGATGGCACACTGCGGTGGGGTCTCTGAGCAGGAGGATGTGGGTGTTTGTGAGACAGACATTGCAGGGACAGAGAGGCAGACACAGCACCATGCACCCCGTGGAAAGGCAAGGACCACCTAGGGACTGAGGATCCTGGGCTGCAGAGGCTGTTTGGTCTCCATGTGCTCTAGCGACTGGGGAAAGCTGCTTTTCCTCACTGATGACCTTTGTTCACAAGGATAATGGAGTCACCTTCCTGACTGCTCAGGGCTGTAGGACGGGCACATGCATGCCAGTAAAAGGGAGAGCTTAGAAGGGAGCTTAGAAGACACTGGGGCCAGGGAGTTGGTTAGAGCCCTGCATTCCACAGCGCCGCATCCACCAGTTGAACCCTCGAGGAGCTGCCTGGTGTCAGGTACCTGTGGCCTGGTGAAGTGTCTGCTGCTTGAGCAGTCTGCGGTGGTCTCTGTGCATCACCCCAGGCAGGCTTCTGCTGCTGCAGCCTTAGCTGAATCCTGCTCACAGACACACACACACATGTGTGCTTCTGCCCTGGGAGATGGTGGCCTAGAGCCTGAGTCCAGGTGACCCAGGGAGCGGGCAGGAGGGTTTTTCATGGCTCCTGACAATTACACGCCTCGCCATGGGGCCTGAGAGTCGCCATAGAGATTCCTGTGCTCTGGTTAGCAGTGTGCCGGCAGATGGTTTAAGTAAAGCCACAGCAGCTGCTGTAATTCACCTAAAAAAAAGGTCATAAGTATAAACCTGTATCCCAAGGCCATGTTCCATATGTAAACTTGTCATTCAGAATTGAGTTCCAGATATTTTTCTTCTTGTTGTCCGGTTGAGAAATTCTGTGAAGGACCTGGTAACTGCAAGTCTCTGACTCATTTTTCCTTTTAGGAAATCCATAAAAATCGACTTCCTGCCCTCTCCCTTCATGATTCATGACCTTAACTCCCTGGGCATCACCACCTCCCAGCTGGCATCAAGAGCAGGGGTGGTGGCGTATTTAAGGTAGTTGCAGCACTCTCCTGGTGACTGTGGGAGCAAGAGAAGAGAGTCCTGCTCTTCTGAGCAGGCCTGGGCTCCTGGTGCAGTTCACAGGAGCAGGAGGCGCCGCAGGCTCTGGGGGAGGGAGGCCCAAGCACCAGTGACATGCTGAGTTCCAGAAGCAGTTGGGGCTTCAGCTGCAACTGAGCAGGAGCCAGGCTAACAGCCTGGGAGATCTCACCAGAAGCCCCAGCAGATGTGCAGGGAATCGCAGGATTAATGTCGGCGAGGGAAGGAAGGCCCCAGGCAGTTGGTTAGCTAGAGAAAGACAGGGCAGGAGTACGAGAGAAAACGATGCTTTACACACACATACACAGGCATACACATGCACACACACAAATACACACAAGTACATAAACATGCTCTACACACATGCTCATGTACACATATGCATACATACACGTACAAGCCCATCTGGAAGCTTCTCTGAGGCAACGAGAAACCTCAAGCTCCCCATCTTCATCCCCTCCATGTCAGCAGAAAAATGAGACTTCCATGAACCAAGTGAAACAGAAATGGTTGGTGTGTAAATTCATACCACTGGTCAAGCAAGAGGGGAGGTGGTATAGTCCATCCGGTGTCTGCCAAGGCAGGGTGATGATGACGGTGACCACGATCCTAACAATAATGATAGCTGCCATTTATCGACTTACTTAGAGCTTGACTCTGCCATATGCTGTAGAAGCACTAAATTCCTGCAGTAAAGGATTATTTATCCCCGTTCTATGGAAGGGAATCTGAGCCACAGAGTGGCTTACTCATTTGTCCAGGGCCACACAGCTCCTAAGAGACAAAGCCAGGACTCAAACCCAGGTCTGCCCGGCCCCCTGACACCACCTTCTCTGGTCTCAGGTACAGCATGAGTTCCCACCTAGCATTCATGCAGGACACCAGGTGAGGCCACCGCCTCCTTCGGGAACCAAGGTGGATGGGGGCAATCATCCCAAGTTGGAGGGAAAGATATGAGATAAGAGGCCAAAACTGTTGGGAATGGAAACATCAGAATATCCTTGGCCCCCCAAGCAGTGGTCCCAGCCAAAGGAAGCAAAGCCACCAGGCTCCACAGCCTGAGACCACTCAGCTATTGGGAGAAGATGGCAGAGGAGCAAGAGTGCAGGACTGGGGAGACAGGGCCTGCATTCAGGCCTTCTCTGCACATCCTGAAGCCTCAGTTCACCTGCTCTAACTGGGGTTACCATTGCCATGGCTGAAGGGTGGCTGCAAAGACCCAGGGAGGCGATGCCCTGGGACAGCACCTTCTGTCTGATTGCTTTCCAGCAAGAGGCTAAGGCCATATAATGGGAATTTTTTTAAGCCTTTAATTAAAAAGTTAAACATACTTAAAAAAAAACATGTAAATAATGCTTAGCTTTGCCCCATTCTCACTTCTTGGAAGCAGCCATTGCTAAGGCATTGGCATGTAGCTGTCTCAACTTGCAGCCTTCACCTCTCATGTGCACACCGCGGGCTGATTGCTCTGTGCTTCCCATTCTGGGACTCACCTTTCCCCAGGATGACTCTCCTGCTCCTCTCTTCTCCCTCATTCTTTTTCAGTGGCTGCAGGGAACTCTAAAAGCACAGAAGGGCCATGATTTATTTGGCCATTTCCTGCTTGGTGAGTATTTGGGTTGTTTCCAGTTTTTCTCCATTGCAGACAAAGCTTCACTGAGCAGCCTCAAACACACACCCCTGCACACACTCCCTGGTGCACACATGCCTTCCTGAGTCTAGATGCCTAGAGGTGGAGGATTGCAGACGCAGAGGGTGGGCACCATTTCATTTCTAAAGCAGGACAAGACAACTGAACATCCCACCATGCCTCAAGATGGGGGCTCACAGGGCCAGTGACGAGGACAGGCTTTGTCCCTTCATCACCAACCCTTGTGCCTTTCTCTTCCTCTTCAGGTACAAGGTAACCTGCCAAAGCTCAGAGCTGGCCAAGGACATCCTGGTGCCCTCCTTTGACCCCAAGAATAAGCACTGTGTGTTTCAAGGTGATCTCCTGCTCTTCAGCTGTGCAGGCGCCCACCCCAGGCACCAGAGGGTCTGCCCCTGCCGGGACTTCATCAAGGGCCAGGTGGCTCTCTGCAAAGACTGCCTATAGCAGCTACCTGCTCAGCCCTGCACCATGCTGCTGGGGAAGACAGTGGCCCCAGCCCCATCAGGCAGGGCCAGGGACAGAAGTAATCCAGGGACTCTGGCAAGAGCCTGAACTTTTTGGTAGAAGGTTCTGATGTGGTATTGCCCTTGCTGCACTCCGAGCAACCCAGTGGAGTCTTCACCAAAACAAAACGAGAGCATATGTCAGGCCAGGAGCCTGGCTTGTCCCTGGCACAATGTCATTTCTGTTTCTCAAGGAGCAACTGTGGGAAGACTGTCACTGCAGCTGCTCCAGGGCAAAAGAAGGTCTCAAGAGTCCTTTAAAGCAAAACAGAAGGAATTGAGCTGATGGGAAAGAACTTTGAATGGGAACATTCCTAAACCCATTAACTTATTTATTCGGGTGGGAGGGAGGGGACCACGGGAGGGAGAGGAGGGATTGATCACAGGCTTCTTTTATTTCCACTGTTAATCATCCACCTTCACTATACTGTTCTGTCTGCTTTGGGCAGGGTGCAGGAGAGAGACCATGTGCCATGGGACTGGTGGCGTGTTCAGGGACAGCCATGGGGACTTGGCAGCTCAAAACGGATGGCAGCAGAGCAAAAGAAACTTTTGGAAGCACAGCCGAACTCCCCAGGGCATTGTCATAGATGGCACCTAGAGCATGGGCTGCTTCAGTCGGGGGGACGTGCCTGTATTGTCCAGAGAGCCCAGCCAGGGACTAAAAAGGAGATGAGGCCCCTTTCCTCCATCTCCCCATGACCAGACACATACCTTGGCCATAATTTATTTTAGAATCCCTTTGGGAAAGAAATATGGGATTGAGGGATTTTGGAGTTTCTGGTAAACTCACCCTCCCTCCAGCCCCGCTATGAGGAGGAAAGGAGAGATGAAGGACACACACTGCTCATGGACTTGGAGAGGATTGTCTTTGAGCCAAGATGTGGACAGGAGTGAACTTGGTCCTTAAGAACGTGTAGCACGACCGGAGCTGGGCTCCTGACAGGTGGGCTTGTGTTGTGTCCCCTCTGATGGCACCAAAGTCCAGGGAAGGGGGCTCTTGATGTCTGCTGGGGAAGCAGGGGCAACTCAGGATGAATGCAGTGCCCTGTCCTGGCTGCTTCCCTGAGGGTGTAGCTCGCAAAGGAGGGAATCTGGTGCTGGCTTTTCCTTCAGGCAGGATCACTCTGACTTGTTGAATAATCAGTCAGCAGGTTGACCTGGTCAGACACACTGGACCTCACCTTCCAAACCCTGGACCCCCCATGCTCTGCCTTTGTGTAAGTCCCCACCCCACCGAATCATTGCTGCCATGTTCTGTACAAGTCTGTAAGTTTCTGGAAAGCCCCTGACATCTCCATGCTGATGCGAGTGAGCCCCCTTCTGCCTAATGTGAGCAGTTGGCATCATCCACTTGGCCCCTGCTGGGCACTTCAGTCGCTCAATGATGTGCTCCGCGCCAGGGCTTCCAAGCACCCTGCCTGCTAACAGAGGGCAGCCCGGTGGAGCCCTCTGCTGGGCAGAAGTGATGGGCAAGGCTTAATGGCTGGTGGCTTTCAGATGTGAGAGAAAGGAAGAATTCTACTTCATGAGGACTAGAGTAAGTGTGGGGCCTTTAAGTCTGGAAAGTTACATTCTGCTTCTTTCTCAGTTGCTACACAAATGTGCAGCCAGCCTTTTTCTTAGGCCCACTGAGATCCCAGGGGCTCAGTGGGTCTGAATCGTACCTCCAGTCTAAGAGAATGGAGGAGAGAGGGGGGTACCCGGGGCCGCCTCTACTCCTTAGGTGGCCCCTAAGAACATCTGCCAGGGAGAGTACCATGGGGAGGCCTCTGCCCTGAGCATCATCACAGGGACGCCTCCAGACCTGGCTGAGAAAAGCCTCTGCTTGGGCCTAGGAAGAAGGGCAGAAGTCCAAAGGAAACCTTGGTGAGTGTGTGTGTGTGTGTGTGTGTGTACGAGCCTGTGCATTTCTTTAAGCTTAAAGCAAGGGCAGTTTCCTGCAATAGGAGGGCAGATGACTGGCATCCTTGCTGTGAGGAAGAACTTTTTCCTTGTGAATGGGCATCTTGGCTGTACCCTAGGGTGTGGGAATTTGCTAGAGTTCCAGCCCTGCAACCCCTGGGCCAGTGCCGCCCTCTCCTGGGCTCTTCCAGGAGCACTGAACACTGACGATGTCAATGCAAGCATCTGACCAACAGGGGGAGCCTGTAGGCCGAGCCATTGCTACTTAAGCAAGGAAGCTGAAAAGTAACCTTAGCCCTGACTCGTGTTCCAAAAGCTGCAGGGATCATTTGCTGACTGTCCCTAAGTTCAAGGCCTCCCTACCTTCCCCTTCTCCAAGTCACGACTCCCACCCCCCGCCTGGGTCAGGCAGCCCAGAAGAGCACCTTTCTGCCATTTAAAAATCCCTCTTTCGTCCGGGCGCAGTGGCTCACGCTTGTAATCCCAGCACTTTGGGAGGCCGAGGCGGGCAGATCACGCGGTCAGGAGATCCCAGCTACTCGGGAGGCTGAGGCAGGAGAATGGCGTGAACCCAGGAGGCGGAGCTTGCAGTGAGCCGAGATCGCGCCACTGCACTCCAGCCTG